GCCTACCAAGAGACCCAGAACACCTCAGAGTGAGAAGAGAGATGGCATTCCTGCATGTCCAAGAGCAATGGCCGATGGGTCTCTGGACTTGCAGAGAGGGGCACCAATGTGCTCGCCAACTGATGGTAGACATGCAAGATTTCCTGGCAACGAGGTACGCAAGCGTGAATCTTCTCAGCAGCGTCCATACCCAAGGAGAAGATAGGGCCGGAAGATCAGCTTCCAGTTGAACTCTCCTACAAAAGTGGGGCAGACTAGATGTCGTCTTAGATAGTGCTGGAGGTAGAGGAGTAGAATTTACTGAAGAGAGGGCAATAGCTTACGCAATGATGGAATGAAGCTTCTTCTCCTCTATGAATGTACTTCACTGCGTCAAGGTCATCATGCAATAAAGAGACAAATTTCATGCTGTATCCTAAAGTGAATACCAGTTTCTTCTAAACTTGCCCACTGTCCACCAGTACGCAGCAATGCCTACTTCTCTCCCTCCCCACCTCCAGCAACTATTAACCTCCGCAACTACAACCAAAACCACAACCTCTGAGATCGATAACGCGAAGCTACCAAAGATTATTTTAGAGATGTACTAATTGGATTTTGCTCATTTCTCAGGTAATACTTCCCATTCCAAAGCATAATTGTGTCTCATATTCGGAGCTAGGTTCATCACTGCAGCATCACCTTTTGCCGACTCTCCACCATCCTGAATCCATGAACAAATCGATGAAAGGAACCACGCCATAATCTCATTCAATCTGTCAAAACTTCTCATCGACAAAACTATCCGTTAACATGGAATTAACGAAATTTCCTGATCCGATTGATCAACTTCAATGGATTATCGATACGCAAGGTCTAGATACTACAGCAAAACAGAGGCTTGAGACAATCAAGACAAGCATTGCAGTTCTTAACAATCGCCATGAAGAGGTCATGAAGAAGAAGGAGAGCAAAATCTTGGCATTGGAGTTCCAACTCATCAGCTCTGCCAGCGAGAAGGCACAACAGACCGAAAAGATCAGTCAGCTTGAGGGGGAGAAGACTGCCTTATACGAAGAGAACATCCAAATGAAGGAAGAGAATTTCGGCATCATAGAACTTCGTGAGCTGGTCCTCAAAACAGCAGGGATTATTGAGGAGCAGGACCAGAAGCTTCACAACTTGGAGGCGAAAGTTGCCACGACTGAGAGGGCGCTTGTGTCTGCAAGGGCAGTCAATTTGAGCCTGAGGGGACGAGTAAATGGCCAGCAACGACGAAACCGAAGAATCGCCATGAAGCTACTGGCTAGTGTCATGGAGTTGAATAGCGATGTTGCTGTTCCTGGGAGACAGAGGCCCACTTCCGAGAGACAGTCATTCGAAAGAGCTTCACCAAACCGCTCGGATTCTAATGCTGATCCGATTCAGGAGCTCCATTCCCCAGATTCGACTCCCAGATATATGGTATTGCCTTTCATTGAAGATTTTAGTGACTCTGACGATCCTGCTTCACCGATCTCCTTTGTTCATAACCCCACGGCTCAGACTCATGCAGATACTGCTGGTTCTCAAGCTACAATCTCTACCCGTGAGGCAGGTCACTTCCCGGTTCTTCATACTTAAATGCTAATCAGATTGCAGCACTAAAGAAACCCGCTACAGAAGGACAATATATCTGAGCGAAATGGCATTAATAAAACGCCTTGAGTACGCTGTTAATTGGCACCTGAGGTGCGGGAGTGGAACTGCTTTGAAGCTTGGCTTAGGAGTTGCTGGAATGAGGTTACTCGCTGCCGGGATTGAACATATTGCTGGGTCTGGAACAAGGGAGACTTACATCGTGCATCTAAGAGCTGCAGAGGCTTTCCAATACGGCTCTATCTGGGATACTAGCTCTAAAAGCCATGGTACCACGGTGCTAGGCGTTCTTTTCTTTCATAGAAGATATCTACCTCCATAATTCAGCTACCTGTACAGTTCAAGGCTCTCTGTGTTTTATTCGCATGCTTTGTCTGGCATGATAAGTTTTATATCAAGAGATTTTGCTACATACTCTTCGTTCTATTTCTCTCAATGTCTCAAGAGTCTGAAGCCATTGAGTAAACCCTTTAGACAATTGAGTACTCCAGAAATCTTGGAATATTGGAGGCACCTCTGTATCTCAATACTCAATACTTCAGAATCGCTACGATTCCCACTAGGCGAGAACACGAACATCAGATGGCCAATGGGCCCAGACAGTGGATTTGTCACCTGTTGGAGAAGACCTTTTTTTGGACTTAGAAAATTAGACTGCTTGCTTTGGCAAAACATAGTGATACATCGGACAGCCTAGATTGGAACGTGTACTATCATGATAGAGTCTTCCTCCAATCACGATAATCTCACCTTATATACAAACTCCATTGCGTCATCAAAGTAAGCTACTCAGCCTTTGACAGCTTCCTTTCTTAACTAACGTCTCCTCCATCAGACCAAGCCACACATTCACCTTAGGTAACTGCACAAGATCTTCATCAAAGGATAACTTTTAACACAACACCTCTTACCTTGGATCACTTTTGCATCATTCCTTGTTTCTCACGATCACAATAACTTTAATTCTACCTATTTCAACTACAAACTCGATCAAAAATCGCGATTGGTTCTGAACAGGATCGCTGGCCCGCATTATATCTTCCCTCAGTCACAATTACTTCAACACAGCTACTCATCTTTACCTTCTGCTTCTCACACACTAACACTTTTTAAAAAGCAAGTTCCCGGCCAACCAACAACTTCTCCTTATAAGAGACGAGATTCGATAGAACAAATCATTTTCGATCTAACAACCGATTTTCGACATAGTAACCTTTATTTCACATAACGCACCTTTCTCGACCACAAAAATTTGAGTCCGACAAGCTTGCAGCATCTGATACATCGGTCTAATATACTAGACGAACTCTTGCGGATCACAATACTCATTATTTACAACAGCATCAAAGCTAGCTTGAGGTTCTCTTTCATCGAAATTCCTGAAGATGACGCACCGCTCCTCTATTTGCCGAGACACTACTTCTGGAGGTCTTAACACACAAAGAACCGGGAACATGTCTATCCACCGTGATATCCCTTCTGGCGAGAGCACTGCGAGAACCGACTCTGATCCACCTCCAAGCTACTCAACCAACGCTGCATATCATCTCTGTCCAGAAGAGTTCCGTGCAAACGAACGCATTGCAGGTATCGATTCTCGTCGCGCTGCATCTCACCTGTCCGGCGCTCGTCCCTTCACTTCTACTTCCGAACCGTCCAATATTCTCACTTCCGATTCGTCTAATAACATTAGACAGTCAACCACAAGCTATCGTCCTTCTTTATCCACCTCCGAACCGTCCGAAAACTCATTCTCTATTTTTTCAAACTGTCCAATATCCACCTACGATCCGTCGGATCTCGGCACGAAATATTCTACCTCTCGAGCTCCTTCGACTATTGTCGCCTCTCCCTCCTCACACACCGTCCCAACCATGTCTTCGACCGCGGACGATAAGACCACCGAAATGGCCAAGAAGCTCATCAGTACCAATCCCGAGTTGAGGAATAATGTCTACTCTCTCCTCGGCTCAACCATCGCTGCTGTTGAGGCTGCCCAACCCCAAGACCTCAAGGACCGAGGTGCCAAGATTGAAAGCTTGCAGAAGCAGCTCTTGGATGCAAGCAACTACGGCAAAGAGCAAGCTCTCAAAGTCGAGAAACTCGAAGCCGATCTCAAGGTCGCAACCGACACCGGCCTCTCCCAAGTCGAAACCCTCGAGGACCTTCACAACCAGCTCAAAAAGTCTCAACAGACCGAGGAAAACATCCGCAAGGGTAACGTTGCTGTGCTCCGCCAGCTCGATCAGCTCGATCCCCTCAAGGCCGAGAACAAAGTCTTGAGGCGCAAACTCAAGGAGGCAGAGATGGAGATTGTTAATCTGGCTAAGAGAGTTGACTTCCAAGACCAAACTCTCGATTTGTACAGCAAGCAGGTCAGAGACACGGAGATGCAGGCTATGCGGATGCAGACCGACATGAGAACATTGCAGAGGGAAAACCACCAGTTACTCGTGAAGGGAGAGCAGATGCGTGGCGAATTGTTTGCTGTTGCGGAGCAGTGGCATGAACCGGGTGCTGGTGCGGGTGCGGGTATGGGTGGTCCCAGAAAGCGGCAAGCGGAAGAGGTGCTGGATGGTGAGGAGCGAATGCGAAGATTCTCCAGAATGACTCGTTGATACATTGCAAGGTAAATTCTTCCTCTTTAACATGCAACTTCAAGAGAAGCTAACAGCGTTACAGGCTATTTGGCACACGCTTCATGGTTCGGGCCTGGATTTGAGGGACAGAGAAATACATAAACAGCGTTGATTTTTAGCATAGCATGGTTTTCTTGCGATGGGTGGATATTCATACAGGGCGTTGATTTGGGGGGAATATTCTGCGTTGCATTTCTAGCTTGCACGATGGATTTAACATAGCATGACTTTAAAATAATACAAAACGCTGATTTTAAAATTGAAACAATGTTTCAGATGTTGACAAGAAAATGAGAGTTGCCCATATCCCGGATTCTAGAATTTTCTCGATCTGGAAACAGTTCAATGTACCAGAATGTGTGGAACAATGAAGCTGCTCGGAATCGGATCAATGTACCAAAAACATGTAGAACAATGAACTCGCTACTTTCTTTGAATGTTCCGGCAATTTTAAGGTCAATGAGACAGGGCCGCAACTTGAATCTTCCAGGACTGCTCTGAACAATGAAATATCTCCATTCTGAATATCTTCTCTCACCGCAAGTGCACAGCTGCATGATTCCGAGCTCGCAGCAACTCGCCGTCGTCGGCCTCACTGACCCACTCTTAAGCGAGAAAACTCCGCTCTTTCCCCCACAAGCTCTCTCACCTTAGTAAGTCAAAATAAGCCAAAACCTCTCATCCAATCAAAGGTCGGGTGGTGAGTTATCTTCCCACAATTTATCAAATGATCATCACTAACAAGTACTAGGTGTAGTTGGTTATCACGTTTCGCTAACATGTGCTCCTCATACGAGCCGCGTTGTGCCGAAAAGGTCCTGAGTTCAAACCTCAGCTTGATCACAAGTTGGGAAACATTTTTTTGGAGTCTCTTTTGAGTCTTTTGCCTGGAAATTTTTAATTTGGGAGGGAAGAAGGGGGATTGTATGAGGTGGAAGAGGAGCGTTGAGAAGCTTTTTTGTAGTGGGGTGGGTCGCCTTTTTAAGCGAGAGGATAGGGGTAGCTCGCTTGAGGTAAATTCAGTGTTAAGAGGAATATATTTTGCATTTAGAGGCAGATATGGCATAAGACATGAATTTGATGGGAGCAAAGTGTTAAAGCGGCTAGGTATAAGCTTATATGTTTTCACAGCCTAGAATTCGAACGGGACCTAAGTGCATGAGCAGGTCTTGTTTCTATGGATCCAAAAGACATCTAAGCTACTAACAGAGTGAGATCAATACACTTAAAGCAAAAGCCGGCATAACAGCATACAATAACAAGATACAAGAACCCATATGTACCATACATCTCTTCATTATCATTACATGAAAACCGCCTCGCATCACGGCCCAAACATAGGACTCGCCGGACTCGCCGTCCTACTAATCGGACTAACCGCCTCCCTACCCCTCAACGACGGGAACCTCACACTCCTGGGACTAACCAGTTCTCTTGGGCTCCTATCCCAATCATCGTCCTCCATATAACTCGTCAACCTCCCACTCCTACTCCGTCGCCTCCCAGTCCCAATCCCACTCATCTCAATCGCCACCTCTCCTGCATCCATCTCGTAGATCTCCTCATGCACCCTGCTTGGGCCAATCTCTACTGCTTCAGCAGTAGGTGGCCATTTCCGTCCGTACGGATCGAGTTCGGCGATGGTGTGGCTGGGGCCGCCGTACATCTCAGCGCGGTGTTTTACATCAGAGTTGGCTTCGACTTCATGGATGGATTGGAATTTATGATCAGGAGTGGAACCGTCAAGTTCGGCTTTGAGGATTGATTTTCGATTAGCGTTGATGGCGGGTGGTAACTCTTGATCCGGAAGTTTGATGCCGTTTGCTTTTCTCTTTCGTTGGCGTATGACGAGAAGAACTGCGACGAGAGCGCCGATGACGGCTACACCTCCTACTCCCGAAGCAATTGCGACAATGGGGGGATGAACAGGTGTTACTGTGGTGGGGTCTTGAGTGCTGTTGCTAGGCGGGAGGTTGCTGGGAGGTGCGGGGGTGTTGGTAGGTGGCAAGACTGCAACGATGTTTTGGGTTGCGGAGGCATCCCAATTGCATGCCGAGACGGAGAAGTTTCTGCGCTCGTAGTCTGCTATCACGTATCTACTCTGAGTTAGCTTAAATTTTTCTATGAGAAGGAGAGGCATACGCTTCTTGGAAGAATGTCCGGCCAAGTGTGTACTGAGAAGAATCATTCGCTCGCTTCAAAGGAAAGTACCTCGACTCGTTCGCAACAAGTGGATACGATACTGTGAGATCAAAAGCTGCGTATGGAAGGATGATGTCAACGGTTTGCACTGAAGTCAACGTCCCAAGTGTGAATGTTATCTTTGGGTTTTGCGCTTTTAGAGATGTGTGTTGAGCGTCTGTCAGCAGATATAGCTCCGTCTTGCTATCCCACACAAGGCCGAAGGTGCTTTCAAACATTGCACAGGCAGCTTCTGGCAGATAGATATATGGTACTGTTGAGTCAAGAAACATTGGTACAGGCTGTTGAAGGAGAGAGGTCCCATCAGCTGTGGTGATTGAGTTTAGCTGGACAAGAAGCTCTCGATCATCTTGCGGTCCGAAATTGAAAGTAAGGCTATTTGGCTTGAATTTGGAAGAATCGTACCCTCCCAAGACCAGACCACCATAGACTTCATTCAACCCTGATTCTGTCAGCACTTGTTCTTGTAAAAAAAAAAAAACTACTTGCTTACGATATTGGTTACCGGCCGTGTACGCCCAACTCAAGCTCGGAATTATTGACTGTGCCCTTAAGTTCTGCATGAAGCTTGGCACGGGATCCGTCGAGCTGGTGAAGTTGCTTGCTTGCGGTTTTAATCCGAATACTCCCATATAGAAGTCTTTCGCCGCGATACTGGATACCGTTTGATTTGCAAGTGTTGGTCCTCCACCTCCCGTATATCCGAGCGTGACGGCGTCAAAACCATATCTTCCTTTGCCGGAATACCCAAGATTAGACTCGAGTTCAAGATCGTATATGTCGGTTGTGATGTTCGACTCATTGGGGGCCCAGCTTGTGGATGCGCTGTTATTATACATCCTACCCCGAGAGCTTGGGCAAGTGGTGGGGTCTGTCGAGGTACATCCTGCTGGATCAATGCCCCACGTTTGGTAAGAAGCAGTGGAGATCAGAACGTTGACACTTTGCGGCGGCGTGCCGATTTCTATTGTGAATGAAGACCATGGTCCATCATTGCCTTCCCTATGTGTTATTAGTTTCCAGCGAGACAAAGAGGTTGGAATTTCTTACCAGTCATTGGACGCTGGCACGACAATGGGAGCAGGGACGATGGGCGGCGAAGACACTTGATTGGCACGCGTGACTTGACATAGAGTCAAGATCAGAGAAAGGATTTGAAGCCATCGATGTGTACCTGCTGCTTGGCGCATCAAAGGTAACATTTTATGCCCTTCTCAGCCAGCCTTCCATGGCATTTCGCGCTCAGCAACGACGGATTCAGAATCTCAGTTTCTGAGAAACATGGGAAACTAGAACAGTGGAAGTTGGAAAGCCTCTTCGGTCTAGGCACGGCTCTCAATCAAAATACAAGGTACAAACGGCACGAGGCTGCCGATGAGTAATTTGGTCAAGGGGAAGCTTGGCGCATGCTGTCTCATGCACCTTCTGTCCATTCCATCCAATGAAAACCGAAATTCGAGAGATAGGAGTCACAACTAAAGCAAAACAAATCCACTAGCTTGTCGAAAATCAGCCTTACAGCTGTAGCTGAAGACAATACCGACGGCCTGCAGATGGCGGGTCGGCTGAGGTCTTAATGACCCTAGCACTCGCCAATCAGTGCTCGATCTCGACCACTGATTTCCACTGTTTCGGCTCGCTTAAGCAACCGCTGATGATGTGGCCAGGCACAAAGTGGAAAAAGGGGCAAGCTACGGCTTTCTTTGGCAGTTAGGATGAAAAGTGGCGTATATTTAAGCTTGTGGCTGCAGAATTGTGTCAATATCAAACAGGTACCCGACATATCTCTGAGGTGTTCTGGCTCTTTGACCTGACAGTGAGCCAATAAGCTAGTCAGAATCTTCGATAAGTGGGGGAAGGATGATGTTAGTATTTAACGTTTGAACGCCTTCCCAATAGAATTTTCGATGCGGGATACGCATGATTCGGGATGCTACTTTTCATCTCATCTCCCATGATCCTCCGCAGCTCGCTTGCGCACAGTGGACGGTGGACACTAACCGCGCTTCTGTTTATCCCGAATCCCAGAAGCACGTGGTTCTGGGCCGAGTAACCTGGTCTCGCATCTTTCCAGTTCACAACTCTCTCTTCCGAAGACGTTTTCGCTCTCTAAACGTCTCTCTTTGAGTTGAACCTACGGTCTTTACATCCAAACTTCATAATGTTCTTCAATACTATTGTTATTCTTTTCTCTACGCTCATTTCTTGTACTTTCGCCATCAGATCGATTACTCCAAGTATGTTAGCTCCAAAAAACCGTTTACAGCTGCTCAGCTGACTTAAAAGCACTCAATTCAAGTTCTGTGGATCCGACAAACTGCTGTTTCGTGATTCAAGAAACAGTCAGTGCAGCATACTGGCAAGTAGCAAATGTCACATATATTACAAAGGAGGTAAAAGTGACCTCGATTACAACGTTGGTCACGCCCTATCGAAATGGAACTTCCACGAATATTTACACAAATGTGTACCCCACAAATGCTTCGTTTCCTATCACTCAAACGTACGGGAATCCTATTGCAAACTACCCGAACGGTGGCTTTGACATGGTTGAGACCGATACATTGTTGAGCGGTACCGCTGTTACCACTCTTGGACTCACAATGTAAGAACCCAATCTTATTACAGGCTGAGTTGCTGACTTGAGGTAGACAATCTCCACAAGCATTCTATGTTTACACAACAGTCAAGATCATCACCGCCAAACCTGTAACAGCTACAGATGGACAAGTCATGTGTGGCACCGTCTCTTCCTGGCCGGAACCGAACTTCTACGATGTCCAGGCCACATTCGAAAACATCAACTCAAACGCAGAAGCATACTTTGGCGGATCATCAATCGGCGGCGCGACAGCAGTCCCCACAGCCACAGCTACACACGTTCACTTCGGCAAGGCCGGCGCGCTTACTGTTAAGGTCACAGCCACGGAAACTGCATTGGGAGTCTTCTTCACTGACGTCCACGGTAACACCATTGATCCAACCCTGGCAAGCACCGGCCTCGAAATAACGCTCACGACACCCTTCATCTACCAACCCACCCGCGGCGCCGACCCTGCAACCGAAACCGAAAGCTCTTGCTACCAGGGCGATGGCACCGAGAACTTTGGCTACGTGCCGCAAACACTCGTCGACTATCTCGCTCAAGATCCATACTATGTATCACTGTACCCAGATCTGACATCTTGCCTCGCAGCTGGCCCATCCATCCTCCCAACCGATAGTGACTGCGATTTTGGTGGTGATAGGCCGCTCGAAATTGTGATTCAGCATGCTGTTGGAGGGGACTTGACGGAGAGCACAGTTTCCACGGTCACGCCCCCAGGACCTACCATCCCGATTCCTTCTCCGTACATGTCGCCGCCTCCCATTGTAGAGTTGATCGCGGGACCAGCCGTCAGTTCTCCAGCCAATGCTCCAGCTTCTCCTTCAGTTGGCAGTACGACGACTGTGAACGGAACTCCGCTTCTTGTGGTTCCCCCAACTACAATCCCAATTCAGAATGCACCCCCAGGATTGACAGGAAGCACTACTGTCGTCAATGGCACACCTCTCCTAGTCGTTCCGGCTGAGACAACGATCCCGGCCCTTCCTGGCAGCATAACGGTTGTCTCTGGCTCTACATTCGCAGTGTTCAACGG